AGGAGGAGGAGGAGGAGAAAGTGCATTTCCTATATCCAAAAATGTGTCGATTCACTCCCCACCAGTCGAAAACCAATCCGCAAGTTACATTCAAAAGTTTCATGAGCAAAAGGTGGGGAGAAGGAACTGAAGGACAAACTGAAAGGATCTCCTCCAAACTGGGTGAGAGGCGCAGTGGAGTTACGATGAGGAGGGAAGGGGGAAGCTCAGAGACGGACGAGTCTGAAAGAAGCGTTGGGTGGGCGATGGCTTGGAAATCCTCCGCCGCCGTCCACCACCCGCATTGGGGTTTCCGGATGAAAGCTCCCTCCATTAACTGTGAGAGGAGACGTCCGAGGAGCTGCTGCTATTGCTGTTGGTCGTCTGGGCGCGCTTGATGTACAGGTTCAGTAACTTCATCTGTAAAAACAAGCAAAGACAAGAGATATTAAACGTAGCGTGGGATCATGGTAGTCACAGCAGCTTCGCCTGGATCGAACTCCTTCTGCGTTCAGAGATCAGGAGGTTTTTACAGCAAGTACCCGGTGATTAAAAACACTTGTTGTGGCTCACCTTGTGGCAGTCTTACCGGGGGGGAGGGGGCAACACTCCACCATTGACCAAAGCAACCTCAGAAAAACACCTTGAACCAAAATGCACAATGGACTAATTCTTAAGTTAAAACCAATAACAAAAGGACAAAGGACGATTATCCTGCTCTCCTCCAAGAGTATATGTATGATACTCCCCGAATTTGGATTTAAACAAATAGGCAGACATTTTGAAAAGATACCAAAGCACAAAATGCCTTTATACTAATTAACAAACCCCCCATTGTCACAGGAGGTAGCAGCGACACAAATCGTAAAATTGTATCCCGGACGAGCCCCCAATCTGTCACAACCTGGTTTATGAGTTATAAAAATAAGTTTATTTTACATAACTGAAAGAGAAATTAGAAACTAAATACAACAAAAGCAAACAGGGTGGAGGCCAGGTGGGAGAGAGAAAGAGAAAGTTATCCCAACCCCGATAACCTAAATCTGAAGGGTCACAAGGTGATTAACAGGAGAGGAAAACAGGTTTTTGCTACAAAAAAATATGCTTATTTTTTCAGACTTTTGTCTTAGATTTATTTTACTTTTACTTAATTAAGATATTTTTTTATTATAATATGATGTAATAACCTATATGTACTTGTAATGAACGTATCTGGTTTTACAGTGATGCTTTCTATAAAAGTGCTCAGCTCATCGTGGAAGTTTTTAAAATTAGAAAGACTCCCAAGTGACTGAATGAAGATGTGGCAGCCGTTACAAGAGTTGGTTTAATCTTCTAAATGTTGAGGGAATGTTCTTCCTGATCTCAAAAGGCTAGAAAACACAGGAGCGTCTGTTATAAAAGGTGACGTCTGACGTCTTCATCACATGCTCTCAAACACACATTTCATCACATGTATACACGGAGAGCGGGGGTGGTGGTTAGGGGAGGGTCTCTTCATTCAGGTGAGCATGACCTTCAGACCTCAACTCTTATATAACCCAAGGACACATGTAGTGAAAGTAGGACAAATATGACCTCGTTCTTTATAATTGGACAACCCGGCTGAAACCGGCTGAGAAATAACAACATGGGAAGATGATAAGGCTCAGCGCCTGTTGAAGAAGTGTGTGCATGCGTGTGTGTGTGTACGTGAATGCAAAGACCTGGTGCAGTCAGTACCTTGCTGCCCGTGAGCTGTGCCAGGTGGGGTTTGAGATCCTCGCCAATCACGGAGTAGATAGCCACCAGACAGAACACACTGGCCTTGCGAACGCTGCTCTCTGTGTTGTCATAGCCCTGCGGAGAGACGGAGGCAGCATCAGGCACCGCGCGCACACGGGCGTGCATGCACATATACACTCACGAGGGGTCAGTGGGAACGTGGGAGGAGTCGCAGAGAGTGCAGAGTACACGCAAACATTTCCAGGGACAAATAAGGCAAATAATTCCCAGTGTCCAAATAAGAACATTGTCCAAATATGCCTCTTTGGAGCCGACGGGGGATGTTTCTGCTCCATCTGATGCCAAAAACCCTGCTTTTGTAACATTTAATCCAAAGCAGTTAACACTGTTGTCTAATGTTTATTTAAAGTTTTTAAAAGCATGTTTTTGTTTGCATGTTTTATAAAGTTTTGAGTTTCCAGTCAGAACTAAAGAAATTAAATAAACTGAATCAAATCTTTTAAAATGTGTAAATATAACAAAAACAATGATATTTCTTTTTAAAACTCTTGGTGTCCGACCTGCAGGAGCCCGGGGATGATGTCCGGTAGCAGCTGCAGTAAGGAGTCCTTGGCGATGCGTTCAATGACTTTGGTTTGCATCTTGATGGCAGCCAGGTTGATGGGGTAGTCGGCTGTCTGCACGATGGGGCACAGCACCTTGATGCACTGCTCGGGGTGGATGGAGCCGGCCAGGGTGGACGCCGCCTCCTCGGCCGCACGCACCACCTGGAAGCACGTGGACGCACACGTTAAGATCAGTAACATAATGTGGGGATGATTGTGTCTTGGTAAAAACATTCCCATACAAAGAAATCCCTTTTTATATAATAAGGTCCTTATTTGGGCAACATGAAGAGTGTATTTTTACAGGTGTATTTTGGCTCAGCTCACCTGCAGGAGATTCAACAGGTTTATTTTGTTGTCCGACTTTGACTGCAGATTATTATTGATCTGGAAGTTTCATCACGTTTTTTGACTCAGTGGTTATTTTGTGTATTTTATGTTCAATTTGTTATCAACATGTGATCTTTGTGTACCCACACTGTGAACCCGCTGCACACCTGATTTCTGATTTCTCTTTAAGTAACACTGAGCGTGTGTTCCTGAGCTATGGGTCAAAGGTCGGACTTATTGTGTTACTGGTATTGTTCTCATATTGATAACCAGATCGTCTTAATAAAGAGAGTACTATAGTATGGACCTTTTGAACTTTAGGCCATTTATTGGCTACACATAGAAAACTTTTCAAATTAAAAGTAAAAAGGTTTTTTGAAATTTGAAAGTTAGTCAAAGGTTTTTTATTAAAGGTTTATTAAATGATAGGAAACGTGAGAAAAAGATAGTTTTTTCAACTGACTGTGATTTTTTTCACATCTCACACAGAGAATTATCGACATTTAGCTGCTAAAAATTCAGATATTTCCCTCAGGAGTTGTGAAAAATAGGGTTAGGGTTTAAATAAGGTTGCTTAGTATCTGCCTGATGGATAAATAAGCAACAGTATGCTAACACATGATCCATAATGTCGTATAATATTGCATTATCAGCTTGTTCTGCTGCCCCTAAATGAAGAAAAATAATAATAACTGTAAAATAATGCACTGTAGTGTATTTCTTTTTAATATGGTAGCTGTGTACCTCCTTGTGAGAGTCTTTGTGGGCCTCCAGGGTCTTCATGATGGTTAGCTCGGCATAGTTTTTGAAGCGGGCCGGCTGGTTCCTCAGAATTTCCTTCAGCACACGCAGGGCCAGCGCTCGGATGGTGTGCTGGGGGGGGGGCAGTAGCATGAGGAATCAGTTAAAAGTCAAAAACATTGCTCTGATCTGATTAATTTCAGGCTTAATAACAACCTCTGGTTAGCCCCGCCTACATCTGGTTTAAGCCCGCCCACTCCAAGTACGCATACAGATAATGGTGTGCTACTAGATAATATTCTCTCATACGCACTTATATTCACTACATTTCCTGAGTTAATGAGGAGTGTGAATCAGTATCCTCTGCATACAAACATTCTCAGGGTCAACGTACATCTTTATCACCCAGAGTCTCCAGCAGGAGGAGGAGGATGGTTTTGAAGTGTTCGTCCCACACAGCCAGGCTGTCTTCTCGTGTGATCTTCAGCAGGTCCACCAGGGCGCCCTTACGCTCCTCGGAGCGCTCGTTGTGATTGGACAGCTCCTTGAGCAGGTCGGCGACCAGGTCTGAGTGATCCTGGCCGACTGCTTGCAGACAGAAGATGAAGAATAACGCGTTACACACCAAAAATACAGCTGCTGACATCTCGCCAAAACAACCAGAACTTCATCCATCATTTGCATCATTCACCAGTGATTTAATCTAACAGAAGAAACTCTACCGATGAGGTGGGAAGATTTGACCCGTTTCCAATGCAAATAAATCTATGAGTAAAACAATCTTTCGTATTATCTATTTAGTCAAAATGGATTTTAAAACCACTCAACAAAATACATGTTCTCACCTGTTTAGTAAAAACCTGCACTTTTAAGAGTGAATATAAAGTCACTGAATGGCCGGCAAAGTTAACAATAAAGGCCTAAAGTCATGGCAACGTGGGACTTAAATTTTAAATTTCAGCAATGAATTTGGCAGCAAATTTGACCATTTTAAATGGACACTGACATTAAAGGGCCATGAATCTGACCGTATACAGTGGAAGGACGGGTGTGCAACCTTTTGCAGTGGTTGCAGAGGTTTGACAAAATGTACTTGTGCCCTTTATTGCTGTGCTGTAGGTGTTAGTGGGATTATTATATAACATATCGTGGTCTCTATAGAGTGCTGCAGGGATGTCCAATCAGAGAGTAAAATGCTAACTCAGTTCTGGATTTTAGGACACATTCCTGCGGCACTCGGTTCCGCTGTTTATCATGTCATTAGCTTGATAAAACACAACCACGCAAACATTCAGTTTGTTACAGAAAATAACCCATAAGCCATCAGTGAAAGCACTAAAAGCAGGACAGGTTGGACACACACCTGCGAGGTGGAGTTAAAACAAGTTAGAAGACCATTAAAATAAATGGTGAAGGGGAATCGAGAGAGCAGAGGGAATAATGCAAACACACAAAAAGGGTGAGTGGAGTCAAGTCAGTAAATCAGTCACACAGTCGTTCAGTCATCCAGTCAGTCAGTTTCTCAGACAGTCAGGCGGGGGAGGGGGGGAGGCATCTTTACCAGGAGCAAAGACCTTGGGCAGCGTCATCCTGTTTTCTCCGCTTTCCTGACGTCGGCCTGGAGAGGAGGAAGGTTAAGGAGGGATGGAGGGATGGAGGTGGGGAGGTGAGGGACAGAGGGGGAGGGTGCAGAGCAAAAGGATGTGATGACGACAACAACAACCGGTGTCTCAGAACAGAGGCGCGCACACACCAAACGTTTGTGGTCAACAGGCGGCAGATAAAGTTCCTCTGTGTTCTGTATCTTGTGTAAACTCGTGAACTCGATGTTTAGCTGGCTAACCGGGGCAGAAGAGATCAACTGCCACATTTATGGTTGATTCCTTGTTTAAAGTGTCAACGTGAGGTAACAGCTGTAGCTTCTCAGGGTGTCTGCCTGTATGTTGTGACTTTACACAGCGTGTGTGTGTGTGTGTGTGTGGGGGTGGTTGTCGACAGATAGGTGGGCAGGATGATAACGGAAAGTCAAGACGATTTCTCCTCAGCAAACAACAAAAAATGGAACAATCTGGTTTCTCTTAACAGAAGATTAAGATAAAATGTAAGAGTTTAAAAGTTTAAGAGAAAGTTGCTGCATGAGGCCCACTGTGACCCTGAGCAGTAGTCAGATACTGTAAGACTCAGCTGTCCTCATCTGAGCGCCTCAGTGGCACATGGGGAGACACTGCTGCCTCTGTATCGCAGTGCGGCTGTATGAGCTCTGACATTAATGCCTTTCATCGAGTTGAAACCGCAGTGTTGAGGCATTTTGTGTGAGGTGTGAAAAGTGTTGAGCTCAAACGTGAACTCACAGTCGCGGAACTGCTCCACGTCATCGTCGAACACGGCCTCCTTCAGGGCGCTCTTGTCGTACGTGCAGATGGTTTCTCCGTAGCCATAGGGGGCGAACTCGCGGCCCCGAGGCCCAGAGAACGAGCGGGGCGACGGCGTGTTGAGTAGCGACGTCTTGTTGTCCAAGGCGGTGCGACCCCCTTCCACCATGTCTAAGCCCAGGCGGGCGTCAGAGCCGGGAGAGGACGCTACGCCTTCTCGTCCTGCCTGTAAGACAGAAGAATGAGAGAGAGGGTTTGGTTCAAGGTCTACAGTACGGTAAATGTGGAACATATCTGTACTGTACTCTCCTCTTGCTTGTAATAATTACGGATCTTAATCTTCGCTCTAAAGCTCCCACAGTGTATTTACTCATGTAATCAGGAAATAGTTTTTTATTGGGAGCACTGAGACTGTTGAGCAGATTTTATAGAAGTAACCGGTCTACGGTAAACATGCTGGATCAGGAGAGACTCGTCCAGCAGCTCCTCCTAGACCAGTGTTTCTCATATGGGGGTATGTGTACACCTAGAGGTACTTTGGAATACTACAGGGAGTACGTGAGATGTTAATTTAAAAAAAATCTGTCATACAAAATTCCTAAAATAATTATACTATAATAAGTGTAAAAGAAAATTAAATTAGTTAAATAAATTATTATTTATATTCAATATTCTCAATTGTTAACGGCTGTAAAACCTCACAGAAGATCAAGAATAATTAAGTATGGAAGCTTATTTCAGCCAGTGTAAATCATTATAATGAGAAACTTTCTCAATATTTTGAATTAGTATCACAAAGTCATTATTTTGAGAACGTTTCTTATTACAAAATCTTTTTTTCATCACATTGGCAGAAATAAGCCTCCATAAGAAGGCAATAAAATGTTCACAATAATGTTTGTTCGTTGGAAACCAGTTTTGATATTGAATGTAAATCAAGAAAATGGATTTGTGGTTTCAAACGTAGCAGCAATAAAGCTGAAAACACGGAGAAAGAAGTGAAAAAGATCCAACGAAATACCATCAGTATCAGTAAGAATATGTTTTAAGTGCCCGACAAGGTTATCAACATTATCAGGAATTAATGTCCAGAACCGTCTGACGCTCAGGAAGAAACTACAACCCTTCAAACACATTTCAAGTTACAAAGATGCTTTTTATGCAGCACTGTAATGTTTTTCTACCAAACATGTTTTACGCCGGTCAGGGGAAAAATATTAGGGACCATTAATGAAGAAGTGACTCGAGAACCACAGAGCTACAGCCTTTCCTGCCTCTCATGTACCCTGTATCCTAATATACATATTACATTTCTATTACTCCTGTCAAGAAGAGGAAGAAGTCTGCTCGCATTGGGATTATAGATTGGATCAATGTTAAGCATGATTTCACTGTGATGATCTCTTGTTTCAGCCTCCACGGCTGCACTGCTGGCTTAATGAAAGCTGCTCGATGAAACTGTTTTGACTCACTGCGTCGTCCCTCTTGCCCTCCTGTCTGATCGGCTCATTCAGGTCCTCCTGGCTCCGGTAGCTGAAGCTCTGGATGGCCTCGGTGACACCACGCAGTGAGCTGTAGATCTCCTCCGAGTTCATGTTCTCGGTGTCGTACTCCATCATGCTACCGGACACACAAACACACAAAGAACTTAGATTTATGTGAAATGCATTCCTATCGCCAAGACGAGAGTGAATTTGATTTGCCACCATGCAGAGAGCTTTAGCGTTGCTTTTCACACACAAACAGATTAGTTTTTTAGAAATTTATAATTGGACACACACCACAGCATTAACCAAACATTTGTAAAATGATGTAAAGTGTTATATTGATTAGGTTAGAGATGTTGGAGTTAATAAGTGTTCAGTGAGAAACTGACATTCGCTCAGCTGGTTTATTTAAAAACAGGAAGGAAAAAGATCAGGGTCCGGCTTCCTTGAGGAAAATATCTCCTTTGTGTCTCAGCCCGCCTCATTACCTGGGTGAATATGCTCTGCGCAGGACCCTTAGGGAGGGGGCAGCAGGGGTGGAGTGGGGCGGAGGAGGAGGAGGAGGGGCAGGGGGATGCTTTGACAGTCCGTCGACACCCCAACCCCATAACCGACTGTTGCCACAGCGCAGCCGGGAAGGGAAGGATGGACAGACAGGAGGGAGAGAGGTGGGGCGAGGAGAGGAGGATGGGAGTCAACAACGAGGGGAGACGAGACAAGAGAGGGGAGAACGAGGAGGAGGAGGAGGCGGAGGAGGAAGAGGAGGAGGAGGAAAAACAACAAGTGTGCAGAAAGAGAAAAGACAAAAAGAAACCAGTCTGAGCTTTAGGGTTAAGGGAAAGTGTTAATTCAGAGGAGAAGAGTTGTTCCGATACCGATAACAGCATCTTCCTCCGATACTGTATAAAAAAACGGTTTCAGGTATCAGCGAGTATGCGTCTGTGTACCGATCTGATTCCACGTAGGATAGCGAAGTCATGACCCTGCTCTGCTCTGATAAAGACGTCTGATGGTGGCTGGCTGGAAAATCTCTCCCTCTCTCCTCTCCTGTCCCCGCTGAGTCTTTGTCGTCCCCAGAGTCAGAGTCCTGGTTGGGGCCGCCGTAAATCACCTTGTTACTGAATTCCCTGTCGTCACTCTGGTCAAAATAATCCCCTAATTCACAGAGTCAGCTGTCAGGTCTCTAGTATACAGTATTCATATATCTGTTTTTAAACGCACAAGTATCGTATCGTTACTCGGTATCCGCCGCTACGCAAAGTTCAGGTATTGGAATCGGTAACGGGAAGAACAAAATGGTATCGGAACATCTCTGAAGAGGTGAGCATCGGAAAGTAGCAGAATCCCACAAAGCCAGCTTTACCTCAAATAAATATTGAATATTCCTCACGTTTTAGCCAGAATGATCTGAACATGACTTCAGGTTCAGCTGATTATAACCAGAAAATACAATCGCTCCATTATATGTGTTTATGGGCTTCTGCTCGCAGAGAAAGTGACTGTACAGTGGATGCAGTGCCTGAGTGAGCTGCTCAGAGTTCAACTGTATTTACTGTAATTATCAGTCAATAGAAACAGCCTTATATGTGGAAACATCAAAGAGCAGGGTTATCAGATGTTTTACAGCCCCAATTGTGTCTGAGGCTGTAAATATTTTATCAGCCGAGTGCACAAGAGGTGTTTGATCTGTTGCTTCTTTATTTCTACCCAAAAAAAGCTTGAACATGTTCTAACCTCTCCGAGCAGCTCACTCAGCGTCATGCTCCTACCAACCCGCCTGTTAGGCAGTGCATTAGTTCCACTACAGACCAATCAGGACAGCAGGAAGTATCCATAGATTTAAACCACAGCCAAGCTTTTGGACAGGAAGTGTGTCGTAGATAAGAGTTTCACAGCAGATCGGTGATCGGCTACCTTGGGGACAGTCCTCCGTGGGAACAGTTTGTTGGAGAGGTGAGGGGGCTGGTTCTGCTGGGGGTGTGGCGTTGCGGCGTCCGACCAATGGTGTTGCTCGGAGAACCCTGGAAAGACAGTGAAACAGGGATGAGCTGTTTAGTTTTTCATGGTTTCATTTGTTTCTGGTGCCTTGATTTTTATGCTGTTTAAAGAATTGTGTCTTACTGTAAGATTATTATTATTAATCTTAGATTAAGGTACACATTTCTTAAATTCAGCTCAATAAAGTCACCAAAATCATAAGAATCTTAAATAACTGAATTTTCATTGCTTGTAATAAGTACAACATGCATACATTTTGGCATTTCTTATAGTTATAAGGCCCTTTACAGTGTGTGCTAGTTGTAAGAATTCTAGCCAGGAAAAAATCAACAATATCTGGCTTTTTTGGGCTGTTTTGTGGTGTCTGGCTTCTGTTTGAGTGAAATCAAAGACTACGGGGCTTCCTGTGACTCACCACACTGCTGCTGGTGTTGCTGGAGTTCTTCAGGTGGTTGTGCAGCAGCTTGGTGGCTCCGTCCTGGAAGGTTTTGGGCAGAGCTCCCAGCAGCATGGTGAACTCTGGCGTGTTGAGCTCAAACAAAGAGATCAGCACCACCTGGGCCGCCTGGAGGCAGCGTGGTTACAGGTTAGGATGGAGGACACGACGGCTTAGAAAGTTCAGATGGTTTCCTTGGTTCCAGAAGTACCTTAACCATGTGTTTCTAACAGAGTGAGTCAGAGGAGCTGTTCTGACATTTCTTACACTGACAGAACCGACTGACTGATGAATGACTGTAATCTTGGACAATTTCCCACATGGGCCAATCCAATGCAAATGTTAATAGAGGTCGAAACAATTCTGGAACCATGGAAACCCACTTTTCAGCTCCACAGTGAACTTTTTGGTAGAATAAGGAATGCATTAAAGCCTGTAGAAAGAAACTGTTAAAAGGTGAGTGTTCAAAGCTGCATTCAGTGGAAATCTAATGAAGTACACGACTGTTCAGGGGAACGTTGTTTCTATATCAGTGCTGCAACATGCAAGTGAGTACAGATCAAACCTGAAGGGGGCTGGAGAGAGTGCTACATAAGCTACAGTAACTTGCTAACCTTTAGCTGTTTGTTTTTAAGTTATATGATGGCACAGTCACTACATGGCAGAAAAATAAAATGGGTGTATTTCATGTTGTTTTCCTTTTGGTCTGAATATATTGAGATTGAGAATGGTTCCCATCAGGCTTCAGGTGATGTAAATGTTGCAATGTGAGTCAAAGAGTTTGGGTTTTGGGCTATAAGCCAAGTTTTGTTTTGTTTTTTTTTGCCTCCATTTGTTAACATTTTGGTGAGTCATTCTCCACCAGCAGGTCCTGGTTGGGGTAAGCAGTGGTTTAGTGGTGCCTGGGGAAGTGGCTGTACCTGTGTCATAAACAGTGACTACTCTTACATATTTAGCTCACCCAGTAGGATTTAACTTAGCTGCTTGACTTCAGTTCAATAACATAATGATCCCTTTATGTTATTGACAGAGGTGCAGATTTTGCAATAAATACTGGCCCACAAACTATGGTGAGACAAGTATTCCTTATTCCTTACTCCATCCATTCAGGAACATTGGACAACTATGTCGTCCCTTTGCTTCACCATCCTAGGAAGAAAAATGTATCTCCCGCAACACTACAGAACGATGTTTAGACATCAGAGGGGATTTAGAAGTAGGTATACCCATTGTCAACTGAGAAATTATATTCTGTACACCTGCGTATACTCTGCACTACACCACCTGCTGTACAGACAGCAATCACCTTGATTCACTTTGATACTTTGATAAGGAAAAATCTAAATTAGGTGATTATGAGGCGAAATCTGAGGTCAAAAACATCAGTTTTAAGTCCTGTATGTTTATTCATAATAGACTTTGGACCCAAAACTGCTGCTGTAGTTTGGGCTCGGACTGAATTTTTTTGTTTTTCAAAATATTTATAAAATATTTTATTAATAATGTATGCAACTGTAACTAATGAGTCAATTTGTAATTGATTAGTTTTTGATAATAATCACAATAATTTAATTATATTATTTGCACAATGTAGTTTACTTGTACTTGTAATAAACATAAGATTATTTGTTCATTTATTTATTTTTGGTATATACAACTATAAATGTTATTAATGTATTTTAATATGTTAAAATCAAATCTGAATGTGATTTTAATAGTTTTTTTTAAAATTGAAAATTCAATATGTGATGCAAAAAACATAATTCCCACTAATCTGTCAAAATAATTGCAAAATGATAAAATGTTAGTCTTATGAATCTCTCTTTTTGTACAGTAATAAAATGTTAACAGCATGCAGGTATGCAGGTGGATGAGAGGTTGTTAAGGTGAGTGAGACGAACAAATCGTGTTAGGCACACAGGAGTCACAAAACAGCATTCCTATCGATGTTGAGCAATAAAAATTGGCTTAAAAAGATCCATTCATACAAAGCAACAAGCATTGCCTGTCATTTGGAAAAATACTAAGGTTAAACCAAATTCTTTTCTGGTTGCACAACAAGCTCAATCTATCTGGTGAGTGATCAATTTGCAAGGCGCAGACTGTTTTTTTTTAGGTTGTTACAGCAAAACAGCTAAAGCGTAAATGGTAGAGGTGAGTAAGAGATGCCACACTCGAGTTTTCTCGGTTCTTGAAGGTGTTGGTTAGGCACCAGGGCAGGCGGGGGGGCATTGCGTGCTTATCGTGTTGTGATTGGCTGTTGGCTCTACCTGTTTACACCTTTCTTCCTGGTTGCCCTCAGCGGACAGTAAGGCTGCAGTACTGGACCTGCCAGCTAGCTCGTCAGTCACCCAGTTATGAAGGGTCTGGGGCACAGTGGCAAGGCAGAATGGGCGTTACAGCAAAACAAAAAGGTCCTCCACCGTCACAACAGGATGCAATACTGAACCAAAACCTTTCACAACAACCTGGCATCCATCTTCCAGATAAAGCATATTTGTATTCATGAAAACAAACTAAAGTCCTCGTAGATTCATTGTCAGCCTGCCCCGGGGGGTCGGGCTCTGATGTGAAACTAGGTTAGGATTTCATTTTCAAGAGCAGCGGTGGAAAAACAAACAAGGGGGACACAGAGGGAGAACACATGACGCGCATCAGACAAGGGGAAGATAATGGGCCGTTGACCCAAGGCCATCCACACGGAGAGTGCCTATTATCAGAGTTTACAACTGCTGCTGAACAAACACTGCAGGCTGAAGAATTCAAACCAATGAGGTATCAAAGGTGCTGCTGTGGCTGTGGGGTGTTTCTGATTAAAGGTGGGGTATGCCGTTCTGATCCATCATCAAATATCTCCTCGGTCTGCTAGCTTTCCATTCTGTGTGTCAGGTAACGTTAAATAAGCCCAGATCACTTTCTGCTTTTCCAAGATACTGCTGTTGTTGTGGTGTTAGATATAGTAGCAGCTGGGAAACTGTCTCGTTATCTGGGTTTCGCTAACCCGTGGGTCATCAAACATTGAGTAACAAGACAGTGAGATATCTAACATTATGGCGTCTGTGGGTGGCATTTAGTTTAATAGCTGCAGTAAGGCCTATATCTTCTCCAGAATCGCATACTCCACCTTTAAAGGGATACTTCAACCATTTGCATTAAGCTTTGTATCGTTAGAAACCCAGTCATATTTTTGAATGGTCGTGCACCATTCCCTCATTTTTCCCCTGAGACAGGAGGAATACGGATTTCAGTGTTGCACTTCCTGCTTCCAATGATGTAAAAATCGTCATTTTGCATCACTGGAAGCAGGAAGTCTAATATCTCTGTAGAGGGAGTGAGACTACAAACACACTTTTCTCTGTCAAAAGGCACCAAATTCAAAATTGATGTTACATTTCGACTACATATATAACCCACTCTCAATAAAGATTAATGTTTCCACGGCTGAAATGCTTCTTTAAGTGTTATGTTTTCTTTTAGGGATAATTGATCTGTTCTGTAAATAAAAACACTAAAATTTCCATCTGGTTTCACCTTTCTTTATGTAACGTCATACTCAACAAGTCTCTAAGCAGTTAGCTTTGCACTAAGCTCACTCACTTGTTATTATAACAGTTTAGTACGTAGATTATACGTCCATACTACTAACTGGTGTCATAAAAGGAAAGAGGGCTTAAGCTTGAAGCATTAGAGTTCAGTTGCAGACCCTAAATGTCCTGGTTTAGATGTTTATGCTCTCTATCACAGCTTGTTAAAATTAAAATAACACATAAATATCCTGAATACTACTGAATACATTCATCCTAAAAAAAGGAAATAAAAAAATACATTATTCTGGAGGAAATTTCACATTAAAGGTTTTAAGGTCTCCAATGTGAGTGCTGAAGAATGGGACAAACCAATCAGGGCTTACCTTCCTGACGTCAGAACTTTTGGGTTCAGTGGTCCAGGTGATGATGCGGGAGACGGCCAGGCGCGTCTCGCTGGAGTTGACAAAGTCCGTTGGGTCCATCTGCCGAGCCAGAGACTCGATGTACTTCAAAATAGCCACCTTGACCTAAAGACACAACAACAAGTTAGTCACGTGTCTTACTTTCACACTAACCAATCAAAATCCTCCTTCCTATAAATAAAAATGTGCTTTACCTTGAGGTTAGGTGTCTGAGTCTGATCCACGATAAACCTCATCAGGATGTTGAACTGTTGGTCAAACGGGAAGGACTCCCTGATAAACATAAAGAATTACTGATATTAGATGATTAAAGAACAAGCTTTAGATTATGAGACTGAGCTCCCACTCTTTTTAATAAATCAGCGAGTCACAGACATTGTTGTTATTGTAGCTCTCTGTGAGCTCTATGAATATACGTATATATTCTTATATTGATATAAATAACTGTATATATTGTTTTACTGTATTTTATCTTGTATGTTATTCTTTGAATTTTATTATCTTTTTCTATGTATGTAGCATGAAGGACTGCAAACGTTCATTTCATCATAGACCCCCGTGTAATAATGATATGTGATATGTGTATAATGATAAATAAATGTCCTTGATTCGTTGATGATACAACTTTATATTTATACAGCGACTGGACAAAAAAAGGAGATCGCTTGGAAAAAAGTAAGAGGAAGTTTGATGACCTGTTAAGTGCTGAAAATAAGTTTTTCTTACTTTATTCCAGCGATCAGTTTCACTTTACTATGAACTACGTTAGAACAGCCTCAATCAACCAAACTCCATTCAGAAAACAAGCATTTTAAAAGTTATTTGCTCGCCATGTTACGGACAGACAAAGGCGAAGTTTGAATTCAGACTTTTTACAAATCCTCATCATGATGTAGTTATTTCTGCATCATTCTGATCTGTTTATTGACATTAAATCTGTTGGGTTCATATCGCTGCAGTAAATTAACACAAACGATCCCGTGCTCATAACCACTCTGTATTGCTGTTATGAAATGATATGAGATTGGAAGTTTGGAAAGTTATATCTTACTGAGGACACTGCAAGGTTTATTACTCGTGTCTAACTGTAAACAGTCCTGAACAGCGTCACTGAATCGAGGGTGTGAGGAGGTGACTTGCTGCCCCCCCATCTGGCCAGAATTACACATTGCTCCCTTAATGGATAGTGAGGGTTTTGTTACTGATTGGTTTACTTTCACTGTTTAGCCCAAACTGAAGAAGCACAAAGGTTACTAAGCTTTACATCAACTAATAGATTAATGGAACAGTGTGAATATCTCCTTATCCAGTGGAACAGCCTCTAATCTTTGCGTCTCTGTGACCTGGCTTGCGTTTCAGACCTTGTGATATCCAGGGCCTTTTGAACTTTGGCCTGGACTGAGCCCAGCAGATCGGCACCCATCTTCTTCAGCAGCTGAGTGAGCAGGACAAAAAGCCAGTCCTGCAGGTCTTCTCTGTGCACCAAGATGAAGTCCACCAGAGTCTCCAGGAACATGCTGAACACCTGAGAGCGAGTTCAAGCGTTTATTACACAACACTGCCTGATTTGACTTAAATGGCTCATTAAGGTTAATTTCTTTTTTAGTAACGTACACTTACTCTCTGTTGTTAAATCCACAGCAAGGCAGACCATGCAACAAGAGACACTCCATTAGTTTTCAAGTCATAGCTCCATAAATTATTGTCATCATTAGTTTTAGTGCTTCAGTTGGTTCAGTTCATCCTCTTTACCTTGCTATGTGGGTCTGCAAACATCCTTGTGAATATCTCACAAAGTCTCTTCAGCTCCACTCGGCTGCAGTGACGGAAAGACACACAGGAAGTCAGTAACGTAGGGCGGTAAGAGTGATAACACGTGTTATAGAGGCTATTTGAGCTGTTGGCTTGCCCTTTGGTGGGCACAAAAAGTTGCATGAACCGCAGGATATCTTTATTAATTAAGTGTGTTCCAGTGAGCTCTGATAAACTTTCACACATTTGCAGTCTGAATGGGCACTCGGGCACCATGAAAATTACCAAAAATACGTCACACATTCAGCACTATCGCCAATACCGCAAGCGTAGGTATTGGCATGGACACGTTATGGGGCTTTTCCCACTCATGTCCTTTGGGATAGAATGATGTCATGCTAAACATTTCCTTAGTCACAACTTGCAGTCAAGAGTCCCCTTTCAACGCCACCAATTTTGTATTTTGGTAACACCGAGAGAATCATGTGTGCTTTCATATCCTTGTGCCTGTAAAGTATAGTCAAAAAATATCCTGATCATGTTGCCATCCAGAGACTGCAGAGTGCTCTCTCTCATTGTATGTCCTACCATTCAGAGCCATTACACAATAAAATCTCCTTTTACTGTTTAGCAGCCTTTAGTCAGGCTTGAGCAGGCTGGACATCCCACCTCAGTATTCTTTGGCTCTTGAGGAGATTCTGCAGGCCCAGCAGGCCCTCCTTCCTCTCCGACCAGTTGGAGCTGGCGCAGTGGTTCAGGATCTCTGCCACATCCTCCGTCTGGCGCAGGTAGTGGGGGATGCCTCCGTTCCTCGAGCCGTATGAGCGCTCTGAGCAGGCGCTGGACGCGTCGCTGTTGGCGTCGTCGTCGGAGTACATCCCCGGAGATTCGTACCGCCGCCTCAACGGCTTCCTCTGTGGGAGGAAGAAGAAGGTGAATGTAGGACGTCAGAGCGATACCTAAACGTTAACCGAGCTCTGCAGGAGGAGTGCGTAGGCAAATGAACTCAGCCATGAGGTAAGGATCTTTGACACAGTTATCAGGTAGCCATGCAGTTTTCTGTACTGTTGTGTTCATTGTTGTTTGGTTCTTTGGACGTCACTTTAAGGGTCAATCTGATTAGGTTTGTTATCCAATTCCTCAGTAAAAAATTTGTAAAATGAACACCAAAAGCCAGTGATGCAGCGCAAGTAAGCAAAGGTCATGACTACGGATGCAATGCAAACAGTAGAGTGTATTAAATGTCATGGACTTTTGAAAATAATAAACACATGAGATTCAACACATTAATATCACAGTGTGAAATTAAAACTTGGGGTACCACAGATGCATTCATGGTAAAATCAATAAATAAATCAAATAAAAAGGGGGTTGGGGTTTCATGAGCCAATATAATGAGGCAAGCTGCGTTACAGTTCTCTTAACTGGATTAGTGTGTGATGGATATATGAACAGTATTTAAAATGACCAACTACCTTATTCCTGGAGTCTCCTAATAGCTGGAAATGGTAACAAACAACCAAGAAGGAAAGAGGAGAGAGGGGAGGTTTAAAGGGGGAACAGAGAACAAGTACAGTCCTTCTGCAAGAGAGGACCAAAGTAGACATTTCACATTTTAACTGATACGAGCTAACAGTTGGATGGATATTCTCCATAAATAGAGGAACAATTTGACACTTTGATAACATCCAAGTCATTATAATGAGACTTAATTACTATATAATACGTTGAATCATTTATTTTCTGTTCAGAGATTAATTATTATACATTATATTATATATATATAT